ATTGTCAAAAAAAGTTTTGATTTAGATGGTAAAGACTTTTTTTGGGCTAAAAATGCTTCAAGTCCATTTCCTCAAGTGGCTGAAGATATCGATTTAGAATTAAATCGTTACAAATTCGATGCTGCCGAGATAACAAGACTTAGTGGGGTAAATTCACTAGATGATGTTGATCAAGCAGATTTCTCCCAAAATACTCAACATTTGAAATCGGCTATTACTGCACTGCCAGAACTTACTGCACGAAAGCAAACTCTCGATATGCATATGAATATCGCTACGTCTCTGTTACAAGGAATTAAAGAACGTCAATTAGATACATTTTTTCAAATGGAAGAGTCTATCACACGGCAAAATAAAACTGCTGTTTTAGATGCTATCCGAGATCCTGAGAAAAAATCACCAGAAGACAAGTTACGATTTTTTATTATTTACTATTTGTCCGTTGACGAAATTACGAAAGAAGATATGGTTGAATATGAAGCCGCTTTGCGTGCTGCTAAATGCGATTTATCAGCGTTGAACTATGTCAAAAAGTCAGCAAATTTTTAGTTTCTTATCGTGCGTTTTGTTTATTCATCTTAACAATTTGTTATTTGGAATTTTAAAGATAAATATTAATCAATTTCATTATTTCGTTTACATGCAGAGTACGTGAAATTACCAGAATGACTATGATGTCAGCGCCGGTTTCTCAAAGTCAATCTAGTCAACTTTTTCAAGGATTTAGTTCCATAGGAAATAAGGTTATTAAATTTTTATTCTTTATCGGAAAATATTTTAAACGTTAAAAATATGAAATTAATTTCCATCATCAATATCGGTTTTGGTTTTGCAGTTGACAGATCGTTTAAAAGAAGGTGGTCTTGGTGGTGGCTTCGAAAACTTAATTTCTGGTGTGAAAAATTTACTTCCGACACGCAAAGATTTGACTCTAACGAAAATAGTAGAGTCAATAATGGAACCAACTACCAGTGGTGCAAATAAAACAGATGATTATCTTTATTTTGATCCGAAGATGACACGAAGTTCTAGTGCTAATAAGCAACCTAAGAATAGAATTGCCTTCCAAGAAGGAATTGTATTTGTTGTTGGTGGCGGGAATTATATTGAATACCAGAATTTACAAGAATTTGCGCAGGTAAAATGGATAGATTTGTCTTTTTGTACATATAATTGTATATCTTATTTTAATTTATTTTTAGCGCCAAGCTGTCAAGAAGAAAATCATTTACGGATCTACGCAGATACTAAATCCTCATTCGTTTTTGCAAGAACTGGCAAAACTTGGTTGATTAGAGGATTACTATCCAACCCTTTTTTTTTTTACATAGTTTTGGTTTGGAAATCACAGTTTTTCAGGATTTCTACTTCATTTGGAATATTAATTAAAATCCAAATTTATATTTTTATTCAATAGTGTCAAATTCAAAAACCAATCAAATTTGTTAAATCAAATCAAGATTATAAATTAATAAAAATTTTATTTTCATTTTTAGTTTAAGAAAATTAAGTAATTTAATGACTATACAAGATATAGTGATTTATTAGGTCTAATAGTTATATCGGATATGTACGCAATAAGTGAAAAATAATTAATATATATATATATATAATCAGAATTACATGATTTTGATACCGTTCAATATCTCATTGAGATGAATTAAATGGTACCCAAATCATACGATTCTGATTAATAGTTTATGAAATAATTAATTTCTTATATATATTATTTTTTTGTCTCTTATCCCAATTAAACAAATTATTGTTATAACGAAAAATTTAATATTATAAATTTTGATTTTTTATTACTATTATATATTAAACTATATATAATTTATTTTTTTGATTTTTTTGACCTAAAGGAGAAGGGGATATTATGACGAATTTTCGAACGTATCGCGTGATATATTGATCAAAATCGAATGATTTTGGCATCATCTAATTCGTCTTATCGAGCTGAGTTGAACGATACCAAAATCATTTGACTAAGATCTCTATTTTTAAAAAAATAAGAAAATATTGGTCGTGGACGAATCGGGATTATCTTGGGATCCCGTGATCGGAATCGGATGAAATCTATGCCTCTCTGAGAGGAAGCGAATGATGTAAATTTCACCCGATTCAGATCACTGGATCACGAGATATCCGAGCTATGTATTACAGTATTACAACTCCTACAGGAAGATCCCTAAAATCCCATGTCGGTGCATCGGAACCCAGGTCGGGTGGGCCGGAGTTGATCGATTTTGCCTAAGATCACCAAGAATTTTACTAATGAAATAATGAAACCATAGTCGTTCATTAAGTAAAAAATGCCCAGCTGATACTCCTGCTAACCGGAATAGCTAACCCTAACCCTGAATGAATTCCGGCCATTCCGGCCCGAAATTTAGGGATTCTCAAAATATGACGAAGGGGGGTTAGATTTGCCGCATAATGTTGCATAAAATATGGCACTATTAAGTAATTATCGCCGATACGTAGAAAATCAATCAACACAAATTACGAACAGGGTCGAGAAAAAAATCGGAGGTAAGTTTCGAACTATTCCGAAAGACGGCTTTCATATTAAGTTAGTTATAAAACTGCGCATTTTATGTGCAAGACATTGCATAATTATAAATTTTGGTGCAAAATACTCACATAATTAAGAAAAAATATATATGCGCATAAAAGTGCATAAATTACTTTTGTTGCATGCATAATTGATAGTTTATTGCAGCATAAAATCATTGTCCCTGATCGGGATTGTCTCATGATCCTGTGATCAGAATCGGATAAAATTTACATCATTCAATTCCTCTAGACGAGAAGAATCGAATGGTATAATTTCATCCGATTCTGATGGTATCCCGAGATAATCCCGAGTCGTCATAATTCCCCCTTCGTCATAATACCCCCCTCTCCCTTATATATACAATATTACTCTTGTATCAACATATTAATTGTAATGTAATGAGTAATTTGAATAATTTCGGTATTACTGTAATTAGACTATCAAATCAGATGATAATTTAATCAACTAATAATGAGTGACAGTAAATGAGACTATTTGTACAAAAGAACAGTGAATCACTTAAACTATCTGGTCATATTGTTTAACCACAATGTTTTTTTTTCTGCCATAACGATAATTATATATACACAAGGCTTAAAAAAGTATGAAAATAAAAAAAGTACATATTATATATCATATGATCTCGTTTCGATGTGCATGTATGACAATATCTAGAAATAAAAATATCATGAAATGATTAAAAGTAAGTCACAATACTTTCAATGATCAAATAAATTACATACCATTCGATCGATTCAGCCATCTAGCCCGCTTATTTGATGGTATAAGTCCATCTAGCACTTCAACTCTACCCTCTGGATTATTTATGTTTCCCCATAATCTAGCAGGTGATTTTCGTTTTTTTTCTAAATAATGATTCCAATAATATTCATTCTCAAATATTGCCATTTGTAGAGTTTCATTATCCTTTTTTCCACTCTTGATACTCTTTTGGACGTTACATTCCATATTCCCCGTAACAATGGCAGCAGTGTGTTGATTAATTCTGTTACTAGCTATAGCGTTTTTGTCCACGCTAAAATTTTGAAAAAGTATATTCTTGGAAGGATATAAGAATGAATTTAGCAAATCGCCACATTCACCACATAATAATTTACTACTAGATTGTGATTGATCTGAATTATTATTATTGGTACGATTGGTAGTTTTTTCGCCACATTGAAAACACTGTTTTGTCCGTGAGGAGGCTACTACGCGTTCGGTCATCAGTGACTTAAGCGGTTTATCAGTAGATGTAATTAATGCAGAATTGTTCGCCGATATAGTTGAATTTGAATTGATGTTGATGGAAGATTTGTTATTGTTTGTGATAGCGATTGAAGATGTGGAATTTTGGATCTGTGTTGTTGGTATAAATGATGAGATTGTAGGTGTATTTAGACATTGTTTTGTAAAATTGGAAGAACTTTGAGGTTTTGTTTTTGTGGTACGTGTAATAGAAAATAAAGTAGTAGGTCCAAAATTCTGTATATATCAAACAAGCAAATGAATTATTTGCTGCCTCCTTGTAGTGTGAATAAAGAGAAAATAAATTTTACTTTTTTGTTTGGTCCAGTTATGATATCTTTTCGTTGACTACCATTGCTATTTTCCCTTTTTGCATTATTCGGCCCATCCTTCTTATTGACATTTATTTGGTCTAGGACTAAAATAAATATCAAAGAATTAGCTTATGTTGTTGTTATCTCCTATGATATAACTTATAACGTAAAATTTTTATATAGTCATTGATTGTAAATTGATGTGATTAACACACCATTATTAGTACTTTCTTTTCGTACATGTCTTTTCGTAACAGTAATACAATCTTCGTCCCCAGTATTAGGACCATCAGACAAATTATTCCCATTAACACCGGAAGTACCCGTGTTAACATTACCACCGGAGGTATCCTCGTTGCGAATCCATTTAAACACGGGAGGTACCAAACCCTTTTCAAAATAAAGCGTTGCCAAAGTAACAGCTTTGTCTTTTTGAAAAGCTTCAGAATTTGGACCTTCCATATATGTTGTGTACGGTTCAATTTTTGGGTCAAATGGTCTTTGATCTTTTTCGGGTACTATGGAATAGGAGCCGTCCTCGAAATAACAAACCAGGCTTTCTCCATCACCCGGATATTGAACGTCATTGTCCATTTTTTGTTTAAATATTTCGATTTCTTTTCGCGGAACAACCTTTTTTTTTTTAAAAAAACATTTGAGTTAGTTAGATAACTTCAGAAAGTAAATTACGTGCCATTAAAGTAGATCATGATTCGGCTTTAATTACTAACTAAGGCCGGCCACCAGTGAGGAGCATCAGGATCGTCAGGATCGACAAAAACTACTTTTCTTCTTAGGTGTTTGGATTCATTTAAACGTCGGTTATTAGATCTGTTTTCCATTGCGGTAAAACTTTATTGCAGTAGGTGAGATCAAAAAGGTCAAAAAGTCAGTTCTTTGTATTCACGATTTTCTTGCACTATTAAAAGTTGCTTTACATTTGATTCTAGCCAATCAGACCACTGGATCAGGTGTAACGTGAAATTTTGACATTATTGTTACAGTTTGAACCTATACGCAGCACAAGTGAACTATCAACTATAAAAATTCTCATTGTTACAGTATTATTATACCATCTATAACAAAGCTGAAAATCCGAAGAGATGGAATATTTCAGTACGTACGTACAGTATACGTACAACTAATAACATGCTAATTGTTACATTGCATGATTTAACTTCTTACGTAATAAGTAATTACCTTGCCCATCTCTCGAAAATTTAATAATGACAGTATGCAATCAGATTCACGGTAAAATATTAAAAGCATACAGAGACAAAAGTTGCCATGTAGAAAAGGTTATCTTTGCCTTTTTATTTGATAACACTAGCAAATAGTTATTCACCACTGTATATTTTGTTTAATTACAGTACAATATAACAACAGATAATATTACAATATAATCAGTCTATAGCAACTAATCAGAGCCATTCTACTGAATAGGAGTCGAATCAAACATAATGAGAATGTAGACAGACAGCATAGGGACGGTTCGGTCAGCTGTAAAACGGCTAAGCCGAAAATAGTTGACCGAACCCATCCCTAGTTAAACATAAGGCGGCATCCATAATTAACGTTAAACTAGTACTGTATTGTATAGAAATCGATAATACCATATGGTATTATTTTTACATTATCTTTAAGATTTTTATAACAATACCATTAGGGTTGTTAATGGGTTGGGTTGGGTTAACTCAAACCTCAACCCACTCCAGTAAACTAGACTTTTTCCAGTGGGTTGCTCCATAGCAGCTCCGGGTTGCTCCAGGTTACTCCAAATTTAAAAACATAAATCTAAACCCACTTCAACTTGGGTTGGGTTCTATTCCGGAGCGAGCTACTCCATTAACAACCCTAAATACCGTTTTAACGTAAATTAAGGATGCCGCCTAATATCTTCTGCCATATTTGTTGTCCCAAAACTGCCTATAAAAAAGAATTAATAAATAATATATTAAAAAAAAACAAATTTTAGATGTACTTCTATAATATGAATAATTATATGGATGATTATAATATGCTTGCATAATTTCGTTTTTTATATTTTGTAATCTTTTATCAAATTCAGATAAAATATTCTGCCATTCTGCAAAAATATCATAACATATTGTTAAATTTGTGGTCATACTTGTAATTGATATTGCAATTTTGCTTGTAAGTTTTGATTTTGCTCAAAAGGTACGGGTTTACTTATAAAATCTCCCACTTGATTACACCAAATGAATAAATATCATATGTTTGCTGTTGTATATTCCAAACTTCTGGTGCAATATATGGTAATAGTTGCTATCGAAAGCCCTAAATCTATAATGTACGCGCTTTTAAAACTATTAAACAGTATATTTCCATTATGCAAATCAACGATGAATAAGGCCATGAGAATGTATTATTTAAAGATCTGATGCAATACATGTAGCAGATTTAATTTGCCATTTGTGCTATAGTATATAGATTTTTACGCAAACAATCATTCCATGACGAGAATGTAATCTTCAGAAACTTTATCTCTTGATATACCGAAACATTTTAAAAATGTTGGATCTTTAAGACCAATATCACAATACGCTTTTAATTTATTATTAAAATGAAATACATACTTTAGCAAAATTAACCGTGGCATCTTTAAGTTTTTTTGCCCACTTGGAGGTGACATCTACAACTTCCAAACTCAATGAATCACAATCGTTATCATCATACTCTGAAACTAATTCGTTCAAATTATCATAAATGTCTTGATAAACATTACGCTCTTCAACAGAACATTCTCCATTTAGGATTCGTTTCTAATTTAAGACCATATATGTTATTCAAAACTTATTTAATAGAATAATAATCTTAATGAAAATACTTTCCAAATTTCGCCTTAGGTTCAAAACACCATTAGTAACGTCTTGTACTTTTCATTTTTAGGAGAGAGGTAAGAATTAACTTTTTACATGCGATGCATTCAAACATTTTTAATCTGAAAAAAAAAAGAAATTCAAAATTTTTATTAGATACATTTTAATAAATGAATATTCTTAGTAATTTATCTGAACAAATCAGAATTAGCACTTAAAACTCCCAGGAGTATTGATTATTTAGCAACAAGAATAGCCCACTTCAGAATGTAAATACGCAAACTCGGCTATAACAAGGACAACCCCACTTCAGGAAAATTTAAAATCATCCCTACTGAATTGTGGTTGTTATAATTTGCGATAGTAATAAATACATTCTTACTGAACTATAGTTGTTTAAAATCTCTTCCAACCCATCATTAAGAAAAGAAATTTATAAAAAAAGAATATCAAAATACTTACAATTTCAGTTGGTGTTTTGTTAAGATGCAGAAGTTTTTCTATTTTTTGTTTTTCAAGTGTTTTATCTTTCAAAGAATGTTCGATTGCATCAAAAAAATTCTTAACTTCTTTATCTTCAACACCAGTCCATAATTTTAACTTGATACTTTCGTGGAAAATAAGTTCTGGTTCAAGTGATTCAAAAGACAAAGTTTTAAGAATTTGTTCATATGACATGTTGATTAGTTTTGTGAAATATATACAAAATTGTAAAGATCAAATCTCAAATGATTGGTTAACGCGATCCGTAGATCATTCCACTTATTTGCGCCAGTAACACAAACCAAAAAAGGAAATCAAATTTTGTAAATAAACCAAGTGCGTAAAAATAGAAGTTTAGGATTAGTTGCTAGCTATAAGTTGGAGTTTTTATATGTAAAATTTCATCCCCGTTATTTTTATTAGTCCAATAAGGTCGATTTAAACACTAGTTTATGAGTATTTTCGCTTTCTTTTCTTTTTTTCTTCTTTTGCACATGTTCGGATTCTATGTCAGGCTGATCCGAAAATCCAAAATTTGTGTTCTCTGATTGGCCATTTCCTTTTTAGAGGTTTGTATTACCAGCATAAATAAGTGGATGCCCTGGCCCACACTATCTTGGCGGCATCCTTAATTTACGTTAAAACGGTATTGTTATAAAAATCTTAAAGATAATGCAAAAATAATACCAGATGGTATTATCGATTTATATACAACTAGTTTAACGTAAATTATGGATGCCGCCATTTATTTTTTAACAAAAAAAAAAAATCAGACAAAAAAGTAAGGTAGAGTAGTGGTGCCATAAAATAGTGTTTCAACCCGAGTGGGTCGGATATCTGGGTTGTGGTTATGGCCACCCGGGTGAATGCAGACGGGTCAACCCGCGGGTCACCCGTGAATCAACCCGTCGATCCTATAATAATTGGGCAATAAAAAAAGTTAAATTGCGAATTTAACTCTAAGAGAGATATAGTAGAAACGAAATTCTATGCTGATGTAATCTTTCTGAGGCTTGGTGCCAGAATACGAACCTCAGAAGATTGTATTAAAGTTCAATTTAATGCTACGGAGTATAAGAGTGCAATAGATAGATAATATTTAAGAAATTGTTGATAGAGTTCTGCGACCCTAGTTAAATAGAAAATGAAATAAGGATGGATGGAGAAAATACAATTTAAGTGGAGTTTAAAACACTGCACAGTTTATTAGAGTAAGTAATCGTCCACCCAGTTAAACGGGTTACCTAATGACCCGGGTCATGGTTTTTAGATGGGTGAAACACTACCATAAAAATGTCACGGTCTTGTAATCTCCAACTGTTTCTAAGCCAGAGAGTAAAGAGATAATCAAGTTAATCAAAATTTTCTATATGTATGTACATACATACTAGTAGTGTTCCGACCCGGGTCAGATAATAGTGACCCGACGGGTCAGACATTTAACCCGGGTCATGACCCGGGTCAACGGGTCATATGGGTCATATGGACTTCAAATAAATTTATTGATCAAATGAATTTTTTTTTTACACTGGTAAAAAATAAAAAATTCGATGTGCCGAATAGCACTATTCGAATGCTATTCGACATGCACCATTCCTGCATTCATGACTTCACGGACGTGAAATCATGTAACAAGTTGAATGGAGCATTAAAAGGGATGTCGAATAGTGCCATTCGGCAGATCGAATTTTTTATTTTTTTACCAGTGCTAATAAGTTCGAATTTATATAGTAATATTAAAAAAAAAGGGTTAAAAACATTTACAGCTATTATCATAATTCCTGAAACACCTGATAAAAATTAGCCGAATGATTTTTCGGCGATTCGGTTAAGTTATAGATTTCGGGAATAATAAGATTCAGTAAACAGATATATCAGATATGCAATTTAATAAAATCAGATAATTACAAATATCGACATGCACTTGTAAGTCGTAAATTTCAATTTCTATTCTTTGGTATGATCCATTTTGCTCAAACGAAGCCTTTATTAATTTCTAATATTTTTGACGAAAATTTAGTTTTAAAAAATTGAGTAAAATTTCAATTCCTATCCTTTAGTAAGATCTATTTTCGTTCAAACGAATGAAGCCTTTATTCATTTCTATTTAATTTTGGATCTCATTTTTAACTAATTTTAATCGTTAGTACTAAAATTTTTTAACATATAAATAAATATATAAACATATAAAATTTTTTACTTTGATAATTCTTCATGCTAGGAATCCTAACCTGAGATTCATTTTTAAACCAGTCGACAAATTCATGATCATAGTTAACTTTTTTAATAGTGGCGCATATTCGTGTAATATATTTGTTATAAAAGTCTAATTTATATCCCTTTTTTAGATTTCTTGCTAAGGTTTATTGGTTGATACGAGCAGTCTTTCTATAAATTTCGTGTAAACTAAACACACCAAGCATGTTGGGCAGGCGTTATATAATAATTGGAAATGGCTTTATTATATACGAAATCACTAACTTAACCAAATCAGCCAAACAATAATTCAACTGATTTTTATCAGATGTTTCAGGAAACATGATAATAGCTGTAAAAAATTTTTTTTACTATCCCGAATCTTGACCTGTTTGACCTGGGTCAGAGCAATTTCTGACCCATGACCTATCGGGTCAGGTGACCCATACGGGTCACCCAACCTGGGCGACCCGTACGGGTTACCCGACCCAGGCCGAAACACTAGGAATAGGTTTTTGACTGATAGGTCGAGTTCTGCAGGATCATTTGGTAGCTTAATGCACTGCTGTTCAAAGTATTCATCAGTGAGGAGTTCAAATTTGTAAATTTTTTGGAGAGCCGCCACAATCGCTTTAGTATGATTTTGATTTTGGATAGATAATTTAAAAGGAAGTATTTCCAGTATTTCATTTTGTATTTCTTTAACTGATGTGGGAAGTAGTTGAAGTCAGTCTGCTAATACCCCTCTGATGATTCTTCTTGTATCTTCAAAACTAGTTGGTAATTCAATATGGGCAAAGTGAGTATAGTAAAAGATTTTACGAGTGATGTCGTGTGGGTTGGTTTTTAGAAAGTCGATGTTGGTAATGTAATCAATTGCAATTTTTTCTTTAAGTTTTTCCATGATCTGGTTCCTGTTGTTTTTGTTAATAAATCT